AAAAATAACTATATCATGATATATATTGTTACAGTAAAATAAAAATGTTCATATCGTGATATAAGATTTTGGTCATATAGGCCACCCCTAACATACACTCGAGTCGGCCTAACGTTATGTTTATCGTTTTTATATTGTTTCACATGTTAATGTTGAGAAAAACCATAATATCCACATGCTCGACTGAAAGTTGGCTCATCAGTCTGACATTCCAGAGACACAAAGATAACGGGTGCCAAGCAAAGTTTCTTACAGTGCTTTGTGTTTTCTGTTCTTAAACCATGCACTCTCGCTCGAGGACTTAAAGGAAGCATATGTCTCAAGATCATTTCTCTATCAGATAAGCTCTCTTCTCGGCTCACTCGGGGTACAGCTGCACTTACCTGCATTTGTGCTCAGTTTCACTGATTCATTTGATTAAAAGTAATTCCATTTTGTAAGATCATTTAGTAAGGTCATTTTGATCAAAGTAATTCCAAACTTCGCGAGGCAGATGACGACATTCTGTGATCAAATACAATCAACTTGTTAACACGCTCCACAGCGCCACCCAGTGCATATCACCTGTAACAATATTGACAGTAAGTATATATCGGTTCCCTTCACACTGTTCGCTTAAAATGCGATTAAAAAATGCGACCTGAAAATTTACGACTGAGTTTGGTTATCAAATGTGGTTATCTCGTAAATAACCATTTTGCTGCTGTGTGAATGTTGTCCCCTTTGCTTTAATAACAAACTTGTGTAAAATCTTGCAATCATGTTCTCCAGACGATCCTAAAAGCATCTTGAGCTTCACGGGAAGCAACATGATGAATTTCACAAATGTTCTTATTGGAATAGTGACAAAAAAAATTCTTAATCTATATCAAAATATTTCGTTGCTTACAGTTTTGAATTTGAAATCCCAGATTTTGAATGTGTTCTCAGACTTTTGGGCCACATTCTATCTATTTAGAAATACAGCTGAGATAGTTATACAATTGAGACATTTGTATGCAACCTTAAGAACCGAGGCCATACAAACAAGTGCTATTCTACACTGCCCAAAACTCGCGTTTGAATCATCAGTGGCAAATTCTTTAAATGAAAACGTATTTACGATGTATTCCCTCAGCGACCAGCACGGTTCAGCTCCAGGCATGACGAAGCAGATATTTTACAGATCTTCTTTATGCAACTAGAGCTTGTAACACTCCAAAGAGAAAGGAAAAATTGAAATCGCATCATATGACCCCTTTAACTGTGATGTCAGCACGAGCTTGCTTTGTTCGTACATGCACACGGCTGAGAAACGTGACGTAAACGTTCCAGTGAGCCGTTCTGTTCAGACCCGACGACAAACATGAATGTGATCTGGCAAGAACTATTTAGCTAATCTGATAAACACACAGCCGTTTTAGGAACATGATATTTCATCTAAAGCATTTTGTTTGGCTTCAAAAATCAGTCAGTATGAATCTGATCCACTTGTACTGTGATAAGCATCTAAAAACAGCACAAATTCACAAATAAACGCTGTCAAAGTGACATTTGGTATGAGGCCTTTTAGCACAAGTTGGCAGCATATAGAGAGCATATTATGTAAACTTCAGATTAATGCACAATGAGTGCAAAAGCAAGCTGAAGGCTGTTATGGAACTATGTCCAAGAATCATCCTAAAAACTGAAAGTGAAATGGCTTTATATACCAACACAAATAATAAAAAAAAACATACAGTACACACTTTCAGAAATACCTCAGTACAAAAACAGAACAATAACAACAAAACACAATCTCTGGTCATGAGACACATACAGACATGTGATGAATCTCAACTGATATGACGGCCCGCAAACGGTTTACTTGGCATTCAAAGCTACATATTCAGACAATTCCTGTAAATTGCTCACTTTTCACTTTTGATAGAAAATATTTGACGATTTACATGTAAATAATGTATATTTACTACAGTTTACATGTAATATTTTAAAATTATTTTTAAATAATGCACTGCATTCTTTCTTAAAACCATAAAACAAGAGTATGTCCTTTTCAGTAGGCCTTTTTTTAAATATATTAAACAAAACACTTTTCTGTTATATATGTATATGAAATGAATTTGCACAAAAACACACATACGTACAGTGGGGTGCAAAAGTCAATAGATTGTATAGTCAAAATGGGGATTTGTATTTGTATAGTATTTGGTTTGCTGCTGTCATTAAAGCATTATTTAAAATAAAAATATATATTTTTTAAAAATAAAATAGCATTTTGAATCCCTTTCAATGTGGACTTTTGAACCCCACTGTATATATAGTATGTTAAGAGTAAAAATAATGGTGCTGTGTTTCAGGAGTCCACCTTGCCGTATGTTCCTTCAGGTGGCCGGTAGTATTTGGGAAAGGCCATCAGCTGGAGCATGTTGAAAGCATACTTTCTGCACTTTATATTCTTTTGCACATTCTCAATCCGGCAGCCTTCTCTGATGAGGGGAAGATGAAAAAGAAAGAAAAGGAAAGGAATAATAATGAAGATTATGATGAGGATGAAATCATAAAAGAGCCAAAATGACTATGAAAAGGCCTCAGTGTTTGTACCTGCACGTTAATATGCAAAGCACGAGGAAACATTTTGATTGTACTGAATAAATGACACTTCAATTATGAAAGCATAATGCAACCGATAACTGTGACATTCATGCTGCATTTAGAGCGTGTCAAAAAAACAACAAACACATCCTCACTTCCTTCTGACAAAAAATCATGTGCAGCTGCTAAAATGCTTTCCATTTGAGATCAAAATACCATTCCAAACCTGTATGAGACATTGTGTTTCACAGAGAAAATAACATGAGGGTGGAAAGACATGAGAGACTGAACCATTAAATATGACCAAAATCTTTAGTAGCATGAGTGCTTAAAGTGAAACTACTTATTTTGTTAGTAGTTGTATAACATTAAATTCCTATGGAAGCCTGTTTCCTCCACAGGATAAAAATAAAATAATAAATAAAAAGGTAATTGCGACCGTTTCTCTTACAATTCAGACTTTTATCTTTGAATTCTGAGTTTTTATCTCACAATTCTAACCTTTTCTCTGAATTGTGAGAGAAAAACTCAGAATTCAGAGAAAAAATGTATTGCAAAATATAAATTCAGAAATCAGAGAAAAAAAGTCAAAATGACAGGATAAACTCAGAATTCAGAGAAAAAATGTATTGCAAAATATAAACTCAGAATTCAGAGAAAAAAGTCAGAATTGCGAGATATAAACTCAGAATTCAGAGAAAAAGTCTAAATTGAGAGAAAAACTCAGAATTCAGAGAAAAATACAGTCCGAATTGCGAGATATAAACTCTGAATTCAGAGAAAAATACAGTCCGAATTGCGAGATATAAACTCAGAATTCAGAGAAAAAAGTCAGAATTGCAATATAAACTCAGAATTCAGAGAAAAAAGTCAGAATTGCGAGATATAAACTCAGAATTCAGAGAAAAAGTCTAAATTGAGAGAAAAACTCAGAATTCAGAGAAAAATACAGTCCGAATTGCGAGATATAAACTCTGAATTCAGAGAAAAATACAGTCCGAATTGCGAGATATAAACTCAGAATTCAGAGAAAAAAGTCAGAATTGCAATATAAACTCAGAATTCAGAGAAAAAAGTCAGAATTGCGAGATATAAACTCAGAATTCAGAGAAAAAGTCTAAATTGTGAGAGAAAAACTCAGAATTCAGAGAAAAATACAGTCTGAATTGCGAGATATAAACTCTGAATTCAGAGAAAAAGAAAGTCTGAATTGCGAGATATAAACTCAGAATTCAGAGAAAAAGAAAGTCTGAATTGCGAGATATAAACTCTGAATTCAGAGAAAAAGAAAGTCTGAATTGCGAGATATAAACTCAGAATTCAGAGAAAAAGAAAGTCTGAATTGCGAGATATAAACTCTGAATTCAGAGAAAAAGAAAGTCTGAATTGCGAGATATAAACTCAGAATTCAGCGAAAAAAGTCAGAATTGCAATATAAACTCAGAATTCATAGTTAAAAAGTGTATTGCAAGTTATAAACTCAGAATGCAGAGAAAAAAGTTAAGAGTTGTGAGATATAAAGTCAGAATTCAGAGAAAAGGTCTAAATTGCGAGATATAAACTCTGAATACAGAGAAAAATAAAGTCTGAATTGCAAGATATAAACTAAGAATTTAGAGAGAAAAATTCTGAATTGTGAGACAAAAAGCTGATATCTTTTCTATTTAGTTTTTTTTTATTCCTTGGCAAAAAACGGCTTCCATAAATACCCAGAGACATAACCACTCCCGAATAAAAATCAGAAATCAAAGTGTTATTCGTGAAGACAGAGCGAACTTCTATAACTGTCTGGTTCAGCTCAGCTACCAAATCTGACCTCAGAAGACTACAGAGGGTAGTCCGGACTGCTGAGCGAATCATTGGTACAACCCTCCCTTCTCTCCAAGAACTGTACTCATCCAGAGTGAGCAAAAGGGCTGGCAAAATCACTCTGGACCCCTCACATCCAGCACACTCCCTCTTTGAACTGTTGCCATCTGGTCGACGCTACAGAGCTCTGAGCACCAGAACGGCCAGACACAGGAACAGTTTCAGCCATCTCATGAACACTTGACAATAACTGTGGAACACACACTATTTATTCACTCATACACTTATTTATCTAACACACATACTCAGTCTACATTTCAATTTGCACATAATATACCTGTACATACAACTGTCTATTGTTATATACCTGTACATACAATTGTCGATTTGTATATTTTTATTCCTTATTTACTTGTTCTATTTTTTATTTGTTATTTTTTTTTATTTTTTATTATCTGTGTTTTTTTTGTTCTGTCGCTGTCATTCTGTTGCACTGCGGAAGCTTCTGTCACGAAAACAAATTGCTCGTATGTGTAAACATACCTGGCAATAAAGCTCATTCTGATTCTGATTCTGAACCACTCGAGGAAGCAAGTAAGAAGTTAGACGCAGCTCGGTTATGGCATAATCAGCAGTTTATTGGTATTTTGCAAGCAAAAAAACAAGACTTAAAATGAGCCACACCACCAGCAGGTGGGAGCTGACAAGCAGAAGGGCGATCGGATAGAAGTGGCGGGACGCCGGCTTGTTAATAGCTACAGAGCCTGCTTCAGGGTCGTCCCATTGGGCAACCTCTCCCTGGGCCAAGAGACCGCTGAGCAGAAACGAGAGAGAGATAAAGAAGCAAACACACAAACACATTCAACAAGACGTTAAATAGGTCAGTCCACACACACATACACACATAAAATACACACTGAGAGTTTAAAATGATGGCAAAAATAAAGGTAAATGGAGACGAAAATTCATTAACTCGTGTGCAGAAGGAAATATCTGAAGCAAATGATTCTCATTCAATTCTGGCCCATTAATGGTTGTTGAATGTCTGTGTTTTTCCACCGATGTGGACAGAATAGCAAACAACAATAGTGAATCTATTGCAAAACAGCAAGTAATCAAATCTGAACTGAATGTGTTGAGAGAGGCAGATTGGGCAATGCAAAAATGATACAAATATCTTTCTCTTGTGTTGTGCACAAAACCAAACATACTGGGCAACAAGTGTAGTCTGATTCACAAACAAATGACTCCTTTAAACGAATCAGTCCAATAGACTGACAAATGAGACCCTGGACCACAAAACCAGTCAGGATACTGAGTAAAGATCATGTTCCATGAAGATATTTTGTAAATTTCCTACCGTAAGTATATCAAAACTCAATTTTTGATTAGTAATATGCATTGATAAGGACTTCATTTGGACAACTTTAAAGGCGATATCAATATTTAGATTTTTTTGCATCCTCAGATTTCAGATTTTCAAATAGTTGCATCTCAGACAAATATTGTCCTATCCTAACAAACCATACATCAGTGGAAAGCTTATTTATTCAGCTTTCAGATGACGTATAAAGATCAATTTAAAAAAATTGACCCTTATGACTGGTTTTGTGGTCCTGGGTCACAAATCAGTCACATAATTCATAAGTTATGAGCCTAAGCTGCATCGTTGCTGACATGCTAAACTGCAAAACTAATCACCATTTTCAAACAGGTTTCTTAAACATTGCCTCACAAGTACTAAAATAATCATTAATGGATTCAAGTTAACAAAGAAACGTTCACTAAATGCTCACTATTGCTAAACATTTACTGCACCTCTTTCCGACACTAAACACTCCCTCGAATGCAATTGTTTAATTTGTTGACAGCATTTTTTTTACTGTGCAAATAGTGTATTGAAAACACCTGTCAATCAAAGCTGTGTGTTCATATTAAATACCATTATGTGATGTTAAAGCAATAATTCTGAATTAAAAATGTTTAACGTAAACGTTTTGATTTATATTTAAAAAAATCCAGTATTGTATTTCTAGATGCATGCTCACAAAGGTCAGTCGAGGCGACCTGCACCTTCAAGAGTAACAAACACTGATATTCTTTTGAAAAGGGATGAAAGAGTTTGGTTTTTGTCTCAGATTTACACAATATCTCATTGAAATGTCACAGTAAATCTATACAGCTGAGTGACCGTCACACAGCTTGACATGCATCCACATTAATCAGCACACGTGTCAGCTCAACCTTCTATTTTGGCTTTAAACCATTTCCGCAGACTGGTTCTGCTATGTAAAATCAACAGCCTTCTCATCTGCCACTGCAAAACAAACAAACTCGAAGCCTTCAGGGCTTCAACACCCAACACTACTAATAAGAGAATCGCCCATCAGCGCAGGCACTTCACATACGCCATGAGCATCTTTAGCAGGATCTGACGACTTTGTGGGGTTCTGGGAAGAAAACTTGCAAATCATTGTGCTTATTTTCTCTGAAAAGGAAGTTTATGCCTCGTTATAATATTTTAAATGTTCAAAAAGAAGTCAAAGGCGTGCTGAAAACAACAGCAATGTGAAAGTATCACAAAAGTGTTTGCATGGAAAAAAAGTTCTGTTCACAATGCAATTTCAAGTGTTATCTTAAATTAGAGTTGAATTTAACTGAACTAGATATTTTATTGAGACACAATGCTGTTTGGTTGAGTCAGTTTGTTTACATTGGAGATATGCAAATCACAGCTAAATTACTTAATCACTGCTTGAGCACATTTAGTGCAGTGTTGAGTCTTAGCATTTATGTCAAGCCATTTAGCAAATGAATCATATTTTGGTAACAAGTGAAGCAGCAGATGGAGGAACGTTCATATTTGAAAAGTAAAGCAAATAAATGAGATGAATCTAATCTTCCAAGCCCAAATCATTTCTTGGTGCTAAATGAGTAGTGGCAGACATAACTGCTATGATATTGAGTTCAAAGTGTGCAAAATAATTATATATATAAATACAAGCGTATTTAGTACTCATGAGTGACATTTTAAAAACATTTCATTTTTAATTTTGTGGTGGCTTTCTGTTCAGAACAGCAGCAGCGTTCATCTCTGTTTGAAACAAATTAGGACTGAAACATAAGTATGCAAATATGTAAATACAAGGGAGACTCGACTCACAATCTATTCCAAACGACTTTAGTGTTGACAAGTGATAAAAACAAACAGCATGCACAAATATTGGGTAAAATACTGAGCTATTTTTAGCAATATTTTAAACAACATTTTTTCAATAAGAACATTTCAGTTTTTTTTTTTTTTTTTTCACTGAGCTTGTTGCAGTGAACTCTGGTACTGCCTTTAAATACACACACTGAGCTATTTTTAAGCAACATTTTATAGACAAAATTGCTCAGCAATGAATGAATTGCATTTATAACTAAGAATATTTCACAGATACGTTTTTTTCAGTGAGCTTGTTGCAATGCATTATGGGATTGTCTTTTCATTAAACACAAGGGTTATACAATTATTTTAAAATAAAAATACTGTGTAAAATACTGTGCTTTTTAGAAATTTTCTCAAAATTGTTCAATATTAAATGAATTACATTTGTAATGTTTTTCAGATTTCTTTTAGCTTGTTGCAATGCATTCTGGTATTGCTTTCTATACAAATATTGTGTAAAATACTGTGCTAATCTTTAGCAATATTTTTTAAACACTAATGAATGAATTACATTTATAATTAAGAAAATTTTACAGATTTTTTTTATTGAAAGTGTTGCAGTGCATTCGGGTATTGCCTTTATCTTTTAACAAACAGCATGCACAAATAATGTATCAAATTCTTTTAAAATCAGTATCAGTATTAAACAAATTACAGTTTAAATTAAGAACATTTCACTATTTTTTTAATTGTGCTTGTTGCACTGCATTCTGATATTGCATTCTCTTTATACATAGCATACTGTGTATACATATATACTGTATATATATATATATATATATATATATATAAATAAAAGTTTTTGTTTACATAATATATGAGTGTGTACTGTGTATATTTATTATGTATATACAAATACAAACACATGCATGTATATATTTTAAAAAAATATGTTGTTTATATATTAAATATATTTAGATATAAAATAAAATATAATAATATAAATGTATATACATGTAAATATTTTCAAAATATATACTGTATGTGTGTGTATTTATATACTGTATATACATTATAAATAAACACAGTACATATACATATATTATGTAAACAAAAACTTTTTTTTTTGGATGAGATTAATTGTGATTAATCGTTTGACAGCAGTAATATATACACATATACATATATGTTTTTTTTTCACTGAGCATGTTGTAATAGATTTTGGGATTGCATTCTCTTTAAACGGTACATGCTGGCCAAATGAAAGGATCTCATCAGACAGTATTAATTGCAGTGAGAGCGGTTTGGAATAGTTCTGTGACAGATTATAATGTTTCAAAACAGAGCCTTTGTTTGGGATCAAACAGGATATTACTAGAGTATGTGTGCAACATGTAGTGAAATCCCCTTTAAAAATAAACATTTTATTACTTTTTTCCTACAAGATCGGCAGTGTGGGCTGTAAATATGTGCAGCTGACAGTGAAAGTTTCCAGATGTTCCACATGGCTTCTTATAAAGCCTTATTGTCTGTATGTATTTATGTATGTCTTCAGCTTCTCAATGCTCTTTTGTGGCAAAAGCTTCTGCCGCCTTTATTTCACAATAACATCTTAATAATAACAGGCTGTATGTGAGAATCATCGGATATCAACATGGATGTTAAACATTTCATTGGGTCTCTCCTTTGGGACGTGAACAGGAAGGAATGTTTCACATGATTTTGGATTCCGTATCAGTTAATCTTCACCCAAAATGTACACTGGCTTGGATTTCAACCAAACTGCGAGGGCTCTGTTTCACAACATCCATACATACAAGTATTTCTGTCAGGACCACTATCGTCAAAGATGATTGACAATTAGCATACAGTTTGGATTGGCGGTATGGTTCCGTTCTGGGCAAGAACTCCCTGCGCATCCATGCAGCCTAGCATGGATGAGAGCAGGGAGAGCAGCGATAACCCCCCCAGGGTAAACAGAACAGAACCAACATAAATGTATTGCAGATATCGTTAAAGTTCAATAATGTTATGTACACATTTTAGAATTAGTCTGATTCAAAGGAGAATCAGAAGGCTGAATCCTGACTGACAGAGGAGGAGTTGGGGATGGAGGAGGGTAATTAGCTATTGAGCAATGCGAAAACTGCTGATACTACTGCGGGACCTTATATAGGAATACTTAGGTGTCGTATTCCCATAGGTTGATGGGGATCAGCTGAGAGTCAGCTGATGCGAGCTTGACTAACGTGACCTGCCAGAACTAACGCTACGCTTGATTTTAATGCATCATGGGTGAATGTTTTTTGTGCACAACACAATCAGATGCACTGGTATTGGGTTAACATCTAAGACAGTCTTTATTATCAGCATTAGATGTTAAATGTCACGTTATGTGTAACGTTAAGTGTAAAGGAATAGTTCACGCAAAAATGAAAATGTGCTGAAAATGTTCTTACCCACAGGCCATCCAAAATGTAGATGAGTTTGTTTCTGCATCAGAACAAATTTGGAGAAATGTAGCATTCCATCACTTGCTCACCAGTGGATCCTCTGCAGTGAATGGGTGCTGTCAGAATGAGAGTCCAAACAGCTGATAAAAACATCACAATAATCCACAAGAAATACACACCACACCAGTCCAGTTCATCAATTAATGTTGTGTGAAGTGAAAAGCTGCGTGTTTGTAAGAAACAAATCCATCATTAAGGCATTTTAAATTTAAAACATAGCTTCTGGGTAAAATATGAGTCCATTATAATGCTTCCTTGAGTTATAAAGTTCATGTCCTGTTGCCCTCTCACATCAAAATCCACCAGCATATTTGTTTGGAGCTGTTTTGGACTCTTTTTGCTTGCAAACGGTGCTTGATCTGTGCAGATTTTTCTGCTGATTCAGACAAGATGACTTTTTCACTGAAGCAACCAATATTTTGGACTTGCATTTCAGCTGGAAACAATGGTTTGAAATTAAAAACATCTTATACATCACGCAGCTTTTCACAAGACATGATTTGCTGGACTGTTGTGGTGTGTGTTACTTGTGGATTATTGTGATGTTTTTATCAGCTGTTTGGACTCTCATTCTGACGGCACCCATTCACTGCAGAGGATCCACTGGTGAGCAAGTGATGAAATGCTACATTTCTCCAAATCTGATGAAGAAACAAA